TTCCATCGGGTCATTGATTTTATGAAATTAGGGTTTTTATAACTTCAATTGGGGATTCGTAATCCTAGTGACTTTAGTTTGATTAATTTCCATAAATTAGCTTTTGAATTTGCATAATTTCATTTACTTGAGTGTTTGAGTCGTTTAATTAGAGAAATTTCGAAATTAGGGTTTTTAATTGAGAAATTAGGGTTGTCAATAGAAATTAGGGTTTTCAATAGAAATTAGGGTTTTTAATTGAAAGTAGGGCTTTTTGCATTTGGACCATATTTTCACTCAATTAGATTCGATTAAGGCTAGATTATATAGAATTAAACTACTCAATTTCTGAGGGACGATACTCGGACTCTTAAAAATTCACTTTATTACTTGTTACGAACCGTACACTTGCGGTAGTTTTAAATCGAAAGAATTATTTCGTGAACAATGATCAAATTTCTACGAAATATAATATGCAGAGAGCCTGTCATGTATCATAGTAGATCATATGCTTGAACAGCTTAGTCTAACAGTGTTACTATATAAAGCAAGTTACAATCTGGAGAAAATAAAATGGTGATGTAGATAACGTGTCATACGTACTAGCTGTAATCAATAGTGTCATGGCGTGCTAATAGTGATGTAGCTTGCATATTTGGCGTTAATCCTAATAGGCGAGGCCTTACGAATTATCTTGAGAAAATATGCCACTCCAATAAATAAGGATTTACGCACTGCATTGATAATATCTGTGTGAGCTTGAATAAGCGATAATTTACAGATTACCTCGAAAGATGTCACATATAATTATCAAAACTTCGACAGCATCTTCTTTGTAGTATGGACTAAATCAACGTGTAATGCAATATAATATCTCCACTGCAAATATTCAAAATAAATTGGGGTCCATTCGCTCCCCCAAATAAAGTAAAATGACGATCAAATTTCTACGAGATATAATATGCAAAGAGTCTATTATGTATCTTAGTAGATCATATGTTTGCACAACTTAGTGTAACAATATTACTATAGTGAAGCAAATTACATGCTTGAGATAATAAAATTGTGATGTGGATAATATGGCATATGTACTAGCTGTAATCAATAGTGCCAGGCATGCTAACGTTGATGTGGCTTGCATATTTGGCAGAAATAATATAATGTATATTCTAGCAGTAATAATGTATTTCTAGTAAGATAATAGTATCATAATAATCTTCCGAGTTCACATAATAAATGGATTTTTGGGTAGAGACGAGGCTCTAAATATGAGCAGTTGCGATGAAACTAATGCAATGGCATGGCTTTGAATATATGCAACTATGATAAAATCAATGCGAATGTGAGACTCTATATATAAGCGGCTTGTGATAAAGTGAGTGCAAAGGCCATACTCTGAATAAAAGAAGTTGTGATAAAACTAATGCAAATGCGAACTCTGAATATAAGCAGCTGTAATAAAGCTAACGCAAAGGCGAGGCTCTGAACTAAATATAAAATCCTTGTATGAAATTGGTACATTAATGTTAAGGACTTCTTCCATGGTGGATGGTTCATCCATGGAATACATCATCTTCGAGGGAATCAAAGGTGACCCTCTATGAAGGTGTCACACATCTTGTAGTTTGAAGTGGACATCCTCACAAGAGGCTGACATGCCTCTTCAAGGGCTTTTTTCATGGTGGATAGTTCATCCATAGAAGGCACTATTTTTGAAGGAATCAGAGATGACCACATGTGAGGATGTTACGCACCTCATCAAGGGTTTCCTCCATAATGGACAGTTCATTCATATAAGGCATCATTTTTAGAGGAATCAGAGGTGCCGTTCACCTTGCTATTTGAAGTGGACATTCTTACAAGAGGCTGATGCGCCTTGCTAAGGGTTTCCTCTATGGTGGATGGTTCATCTATGGAAGGCATAATGAATAGTAGCCCAACTAAACCGATGCCCTTAGGAGAATATAAGCTCGACTAAGTGAGTACGCTTAGGAAAATACAAGCTCGATTAAGTAGGTACACTTAAAAGAATACATGCTCGACTAAGATGATGTACTTAGGAGGATATAGGCACGACTAAGTCGGTGCAATGAAGAGAATACTGGCTGGCGAGGTACTTTTGATTGGGTTGCAGTTGATGTAGAGGCATGATGAACTCTGAAAATAAATGTAGCTGTGTTTTGCATGAAGGTGCGTCTCGGACTATCAAAGTCTTATAAGCTAGCCTCTAAAGGACGAGGTGTCTAAGTTATACTCGAAGATATTGAGAATCACGGATTGGTGGCATAAGTATAACCACCTCGTGTGGCGAGTCATCTTGCAGAACAAGGAATAAACATCTTGCGTGATGTGCATCTCGAAGAGTGAGTAAACAATATTAAGCTGGTGGCTCGTCTCGAATTATCAAAGAGTTATAAGCTAGCTTCGAAATGCTATACTCAATGATAGTGAAAAACAAGGGATAAGCATCTCACAAAGCTAATGAATTTGACTGGGGAAGTGGGGAATAAACATCTTGCACAACGAGGAACAAACATCTCGTGAATGACTCTCTCAAACTATTAGGTACTTATAAGCTGTCCTCAAATGGACGAAATCTTATAGTTGTGCTCAACAATTGTGGGGGGTGAGGAATAAGTATCTCATGAAGCCAAATCTGTTTGGTGAATCAAAGAATATGAATCCTGCTGGTGGCTCGTCTTAAACTATTGGAGACTTATAAGCTGCCCTTTGCTAATCTGGTGTTGCAACCTCCATACGCTAAACTTAACTTTCTTGTACCCTTTGCTAAATCTGATGTTGTAAACATTGCATATGAGGGTAAAGCCTTATAGACCATGCCATCAACAACAATTCATCCACTGCATCTGCGAAATACTAAAAACCATCCCTATCTACTGCTAATAAATGAAACTTTAGGCAAATCAGCATCCTTAACATCACAAAAAAAGATTGACCTTGATTCATTCACAACATATAATGAGTCTCTGTATCTTGCGTATTGCAAAAGGGCAAGAATTGCTAAAATACGAGTCATGGATGATTCGTGAGAGAAAATGAATTTTTTCCAATAAAACGGTCCAGCATTCTCTATACGGCCAAATTAAAGACTTCACCGTTAGGATACAAAGCTTGTATCCTCCGTCCACTCTATGATTGAAATTTAAGATAACTAGGATAGTTAAAAGCGATGGAAGATTCATTTTGGTTTGAGTTAGGAGATTAATGACAGGAAAATTGAAGAGAATTCATCGATGAGAGCTAGCCGTGTGGTGGAGTTGAGGCAGCAACGTCCTTAGGAGGCTTCTGGTAGCGTGAGGAGGTGAAATTTATTACTAAGAGCATTGAGGAAGCCACATCGTTGATCGAAAAGGCTCATTTTGAGGGAACATGAGTCGGGGCAGGGACAGATAGGGGGGAGGGAAGATGCACTGAGCTTCAGCCCCGTACAGCCTTGGCTCAGATCCTATTTCGATTTGTAACTTTTTTCTTAATAGGTCATATTTTGGGTCAAATTTAGGATTATCCCACTATCCGCTTTCTCTAATATTTGCCTTCCAGCCTAATTTCTTAAATGGACCAAATTTTAGAATTAGACCACTTCCAAATCTCTTGCTCAAAATAATAGAACTTCTTTCAAAATATAATACTAAGGAAAAGCACAACCTTATTTTTGCTGCAGTAGACTAATGAAATAAAATCCAAAATTAATTATACTTATAAGTTAAAAAATAATTATTGACCATGAAATAGATGTTATTATCGAAAATGGTTAACTTGCTCTACATTTAATTTTATTGGTGAAAATAATATTTCTTTAAAATTTATATATTTATAAATTAATATTATTAAAAGTATATCATTGAAGTATTAAAGTGAAATAAATCCAATTTCTTTGAACTCTCGATATTCTCGGTCAGTTTTCCCCACTTCATGGAATTAAAATGTGTCGATATAGAATACTAATGCTCATATTATTTTCAGAATGGTGTGTTTTGACTAAAAACCTTTAATAGCTAAGATGACTTTTTCTATTTAAGCTTTGAATCTCATAACGGTGCAAATAGGATATTCTTAATTTTTTATTGGTGGGTATACGTCATTTGTTCATGTCTATCATGCTATTGCACATTTTATATTTTCTAGGGAAATGTCAATTTTTTGTTTGACAAAAAACATATGAAGATATAGTAAGATATTTAAAGGATTAATATGTTTATACTTATTTGAGTATCTGACTTATTTCATGAGCTTAGCCTTTCAAACTATATTTATTGTGGCATGGTGCATCTCCCGTGGCGTGAGTTCATTGATTTTTTTTTTTTTTATATTTCAGCTCACCTCAACGCCTTTTCTTGGCTCCCTCCCTGAGTCAAGGGGTATTCACGGGTATGTAGTGGGTAGTTAGGGGAGTAGCCGCATGCCAGCTTGATTAGACGGCTCTGAATCGGTTGTAATCGGCTACGGTATGGAGGTTTCTAACAATAATTTGAAGGATTTCCGGTGGACACGACTGGCTTGGCAGAGATCATTCCAACCTCAACAATTCGCGAAAATTAACTACTACTTTATAAGCCAAAACCTCTTTCAATTGCACTTATCTGTTGCAAAATCTGAGTTAGATTTTCGTTGGCACAATGAAACATTTTCCTTTTTTTTTTCTTTTTTTAACACAAAGTTGAACATAATTTTTGTCTCATTCAATCGACGTGGTGCTTTGAGGAGTTCTTAGCATCCATAACATAATAATTTGATTAAGCACCGAATCGACAGTTTGGAAGCAAATCGAGACCAAATCTCTTACTTCCCAAATCACTTCATTATGGCGAGCCGACATATCTAAAGATGGAGAAGTTAGCATTTGTCTTTGTAGTGTCGTCCAAAAAACTGAACCACACTTCCAAGCTCAAGCAACTGAGGCGCCAACCATCAGGTCATCTAGAAGGCAAAATCCCTTTAGACAACCTTTGAACTAGACGATAGAGCTCGAAGATTTTGATATTAGCTGCTAAACAACAATAGAAATGAAAAGCCAAATTCCATTGCATAAACAACCACTTATCAGCTGATTGTAATCTTCAAAGCAATAATATACAAAGACGACTCGGTGGAGAGAAGACTACTGGCGACTGCAATACTTGCACGCACAATTGTCATTTATTACATTCAAGGCATTATTGTGGCTAAGGACACACACAAGTTTCTGCTTACATTAATACAACAACACAGTACTCCGCTCACAGCAACTGGAAGATTTCGTGTACTCTCATTGCGTTTACATTGTTGGCCTTACATTGAGACGAGAGGCGAGCTTCTGACCAAGGGACCTGTCAGCCTGCAGCATAAAAATCGAAACCTAAGTACACGAATTAACCTTCAAAACTAGAGTACAAATATAAAGAAATGTTCGGCACATAATACTAAAGAGAACTGAACAATATAATGAATAAGATTTTGACTTCTCTTTCTTATTTAATATTGATCAGTCCTACCAACCCTCCGTGCCAAACACGAGAGAAAGATAAGGGTATTAGACCTGAGAACAGTATGAAATCCAGATGCTACGGATCTCATGAGTGACCCGGGGATCGGATAAAGCATCTACCCATTTTCGGATGAATCTCTCTTGTCTGAAAGAGAAACAAGATCAAACAAATAAATCAACTTGCATAATAAGCATTTTATAAACTGTTGAATGACCAAAAATCAGTTACCTGGCTGGATCCCACGAACGGTATCTCTCTCCTGGTTCCTTAAAGTTATTCTCCTTCTCAATGATGCGCTGAAATAATTAACAAAAATACCATTCAATTCACACGAAAATTCTCCCGCTAGTCGGCTTCACTCTAATGCTACCAGTTCGATCAATGTATCTGGAGATCACTTTTTGGGCCATATCAGGAATTTAATCCTAAAGGCTTGGGATTCTAACAATAAATACATTTTTCTTTCATCAGAAACTAGACAACCTAAATGAGATAAGAAAAAGTAGAAGGGAGGGATGTATCGGCGTCAAACCAATACCCTTCTTGAAAAACTAGTTGTAAGCACCAAGCAAACCCGAAGTTTCAACAAATTTAAGAATTATCATAAAATGAAACAAGCAACAAAATCAAGAACACAATAAATACATACCCTTTCACGCCTCCCTGTTAAGATCGCAGAGGGAATGGGGTACCTCTCAGCATTACGACAAGGATCGTATCTTGACGGGAAATAATCGACCTGAAAACCAGTTAGAACGTCTGATTAAAACATATGATGATAACAACAAAGAATAACACATACCAGTTTAGACTACCCTATCCATTTATCAAGATACAAATCTCATGAAAAGAACTCAATGACAAAAAAGGTTCACATCCCCAATATTTTTTCCTAAAAATGCTATCAAAAACAAAAGAATATATAAATCTGGGAGCATTTTTAGCAGCTCCCAAGGATATTCATTAGGAACCAAGAAATTGAATGTAAGTGATCTCAAATATAAACAGTATAGAACAGAAAAATCGTCAGTGTACCTCGTCGTCCCTGTGCATGAAATTCATGAAACCGTCATAGTGGTTATTGTGATGTGCGCACTTTGGAGCATTAACTGGGAGCTGCTTATAGTTTGGCCCTAGACGGTGCCTGTGAGTATCAGCATAAGCGAATGTACGAGTCTGGAGCATCTTGTCATCAGAATAGTAAATCCCAGGGACCATATTACCAGGGTCAAATGCAAGCTGCTCATTCTCCGCAAAGAAGTTATCGATGTTCTTATTTAATACCAAGCGACCCACTGGCTGCAGGGGCACAATGTCCTCTGGCCAGGTCTTGGTCAGATCAAGTGGATCAAAATCGAATCTATCTTCATGATCAGGATCTATCGTCTGAATAAAAAGTTTCCACTCTGGATAGTTACCAGCAGCAATTGAATCGTAGAGATCCTGGGTGGCATGGCTGTGATTGGCTCCTCCAATTTTAATAGCCTCTTCGTCCGTCAAACACTTGACACCACAAGTTGGCTTCCAGTGGAACATCACGTAATGTACTTTCCCAGCCTTGTTGATTAGAGTATAGGCGCTGACGCTAGAGCCTTCCATGTGTCTATAATCCTGTGGAATACCCAGATCATCATAGAAGAAAGTGAAAGTGTTCAAGCTCTCTGGATGGTGAGAGAAGAAGTCAAGGATTCTCCAGTTTTCCTGAATGTGGGATTTTGGATTGGGTTTGAAAGCATGAATCGCATCTGGGAATTTCATCGCATCGCGAACAAAAAAGACAGGGAAGTTGTTCCCCACCAGATCAAAGTTTCCCTGTATCCACAAGAAGAAGCTGTCGTTATCAACACAAAGTGTCAAAAACACTAAGCCTATGTTTAACTGATATCAGAAGTACATAATCCAACGCCCAAGATAAAATCTAGCTACTGTCATCAGAAATGAGATAAAGTTTCAGCAACAAAACAATTAGCAAAAGATCTTGACCTCTCTGGTGTAAAATTTAGTGGCAAAGCCTCTGGGGTCCCTGATGGTTTCAGGGCTTCCACGCTCATGGATGACCGTGGAGAATCGAACGATGACAGGTGTCTGAACTCCAGGGGATCGAAGAAAATCAGCGCAGGTAAGATGAGATATATCATGAGTAACCTCAAAAAACCCCTTGGCACTGGCACCTCTGGCATGGACAACACGTTCTGGGATTCTCTCACGATCGAAATTAGCAAGCTTCTCCACGAGATGGTAATCTTCAAGAAGAACCGGGCCTGCCAAAAGACAATTTCACGTTATTGGTCTCAGTCTCAAGCCAAAATCAAATTTTGATCTTCAAATGTAACTTCAAATATAAACAAATCTTGTTAGTTTTCCGAGGAAAAGGTAAACAGACAGTAAAGCCTGAGAATGTTGCATATATGATCAAAGAATTATCATTCTGAAGGAGTACTATCTTCCATGCAACAGAAAAAAGAAATCGTCACTTGGGTAAAGCGACTCCAGTATTGACTAACAAAACTTTAATGTAATCACAAAATTAAATACATAAATTGAACCAAAAAAAGGAAAGATAGAGAATTTATTTACCTCTACTTCCAACTGTCAAAGAGGAGTCATTGTTATAAATTGGAGTTCCAGAATTTGTGGTCATAAAAGGTGAATCGAAAGCACTAGATGGACGGTACTGTATCATCAAAAACATTTAGAAAAACGAATTATTTACAAAAAAATCGTAAACAAATAATTCTATTGCAACAAACAAAAAATTCGTACTATAGGATCAGACTTAGGGTCGTATGCAAAAATCATCAAACGGTTTGAACCAAATCGAACCGTTTGAAAACAGTATGTATGGTTTCGGTTTTAATACTTTTATTGCGGTTTGAAACTAAATCGGACCTCTTAAAAAATTAAAAATTGAAATTTTTAACTTTTGGTGGAAACTAATCCAAAATAGACCCAGGATACACTCTTAAATTACTGTTTTATCCTTAAAATGAGTTATAACTTAATTAAAAAATAAAAATTAGATATAACCCAACTAAGAAAAAATAAAACGAAATTTTAGTCCAACTAACCAGCTAGCCACAATCCAAATAGCCTAAATTGATTTATTTATTTTTTGGGCCCATAAACTGTTACGCAATACCCGAAACCCATTTGTCAATGTTGAATTTTGTGCCAAATGATTTTCTATGGGCCGATGATTTAAATCGAGTCAAACTTCAAATAATTTTGGAACTTAATTGAAGAAAATAAAGTGGCCCAAATATTTCACAAAGGTTAGTTCATTAGCCCAGCTCAAACAAGATTGAAAGTGCTATTTTTGACGTTTTAACACTTTTAATGAAAAGTTGCTCAAATAGCACTAAATTGGAATAAATCCAGGTCCATCATTTGATTTAATTGACCAATTGAGATTAGGAATAATTATACCAACCCCCACTCTTTAAATTTTTTCATTTCAATAATCTGATGTCAAGAATTTCTTTTCAAAAATCAGGTGTACTGTCGCTATCCTATTCCTCACTTACCCACTTCGAAAACCTACGCTAACCCATTTTCAATCAACCATCACGACAGAAACATCCATCGTCTTTATCGCTGTCGCAGCAAAACACAACATTGTCCACTTGACTTCACCCGTCAGACCAATGCCGAAGAACGTTACGAACTTGGATCATTTGATGGATGCGATGGTAGTGATGCGGTGGATGTATAATGCGCTGTTGTTTGTGTAGTGGTGGGTTGTAGATTTGCGTGATGGTGGTGCAGTGGATGTGTGGAACAATGTTGTTTGTGTTGTAGTCGTACGGTGATGATTAACCGGTGGATGTACAGATCTACGTGGTGGTTGTGCGGTGAACAAATCTACGCGGGGTGGTGGTGCAAAGGTGGGATGGTAAGGTGGTGGTCGTGGATTTCAAGGAGGAAGTTGGAACTGAAACGACGACCATTTTTCTGTCTTTATATGTTGGCCGAAAGTGGCACTGGGGTGAGGGAGTTTGAGGTTTGGTAAGAAGAAAATCAGTGGCTACCGCACGACAGCCGTTTGATGGTGGTGTATAGGAGAAAAAGCAGGTGAAGAAATGGAAGAGAAGATGTGGGGTGAGAGAATAGTGCTTGTGACCAATTAATTGGATAATTATGATTAATATATAATTTATGATTTATTTATTGTGTAATTTGCGATTACCCACAAATTATGTCATGACTTTAGATAATTTGTGATATATTAAATATATTATTTAGTAACTAAAATACATATTTCGGATCTTAAAATTGTGTTTTGTGATCATGATTTCGTGTGATTTCTGACTAGTACGTGATCATAATCATAAATTGTGAGGGTGTTTGACACCCATAGGAAAAAATGAATTTTAGAATAATAGATTGTGGAGAATGTGTAGATGAAAAATTAAAAAAAATTATTTACATATAATATTATTTTAATGAAGAATATATATGATTAAAAAGAATAGAAAAAAATTATATTTTGATAAAAATAAAAATCAAACGGGACCAATACGTCATTTTGATTGTGACCTAATTAATTAAATTATAAATCACAAAATATGATCAACTTTTTATCGGTGACCACCTGATTTTTTTTTTTTTTTTTAAATTTGAAAATGTACATAAAAAAACAAAAAGCAGCTCCTTTGTGAATTATTTAATATATCCTTTGTGGATCGATGATCTTGTGTTCTTTGTGATCCAAGAGTTACTGATTCGGGTTGGAGATTGAAGATTTGGGTCAGGTCGTTGAGAATTCCTTCTTTATGGAGATAGTGATACTGAGCCCTAATGGTTGTTTCCCCCATTGTTGTCAAAGTTCATTCGTGCAAGATTCTTGAAGAAGAGTGCTGGAATTTTTGGGTTGTTTTCTTGGATGAACTTGTTTCAGTCAGCCTATTTTCCTATCTGCATTTTAACCCTTCTTTTTTAAGTTGCATGGATAGTAAATATATTCTTAAAAAATAATATTATCTAGCATCAATACTCTAATTTAGGTATTAATGTATCTAAAATATGCCAAAGTTTCTTGTATTTAATTGAATATGTAATTTGATGTCACTAATATTACCATCTAATCTTATGTTAAACATTACTGGTATTAAATAACATTATTCAATAGATTATTATCTTTTATTTTGCAAAAAATGAATTGAACACTTATTTTGTACAGATTTAGCTTTTATTTTGCATGGATCGTGAGGATTTATTGCAACTTAGAGTTTTGTTTGTATTTAGATTTCTATGTGATATCTATGTTTTGTTTTATTTAAAATATTATGGATCAATAACAGTGACAGTAAAGAGAATCAGAAGGAAATAGCAAAATAGCAGTTTAAAATCAAATTGAAATCGTCGATTTAGATTTGAGCTTTTCTCAAACCGTTTAAAATCATTTTAAATAGATTTGAGTTGATTTTAAAATATGTTAAAAATCGTCCAAATCGAACCGCTTACCCACATAGTCGGACTCTCTATTAATACAAATAATTTGGAGTCAGATCATCAAAATCAAAACTTTCAAATAGGAAAAAAAGAAAACAGGAATCGAATGTAAACGAGTACCTTGTAGGGATCCATGGCGAGAGAGAGAGAGATTTTGGAGGTAGAAGAGAGGAGGAGTGTGTTGGAGTGTGGTGACCATGTTGTGTTATCTATTCATTCTTTTATAGCCAGCATTTCTACTTTTAGTAAACCGACTTTTAATGATTATTTCCATTCCAAAAAAGTTTTTTTTTTTTTTATAAAATATGTTGTATATCTGGAGTACAAATTAAAAATTTTTTTTTTTTTTTCAATTAGGTTTAACACCATGCGATTTAAGATTCCAGTGATATCCTTCCAGATCAAATATTATCATTTGACTAGTTGCCAAGAATACAAGTATAAGAAAATATTGAAAAAATTCATACCGACATTAATGTAACAACGCATGATTGACCTTTTTTTCTCTCTCCATCTTTCAATAATATCACGCTATGTGTTTTTTATCAAAAATTTTTGTAAAAATTCCCTATACTAATAACATGATTGAATTTTTATTTGGACAGTGCTACTTGTACAAATAAAATGTACAACCTGTATTACATATACAACCGAAAAGCATTGATAGATGTTGCTGCCCCCCCCCCCCCCCCCCCCTCTCCTCCTCTCTTCTCCATATATATATATAAAAGTGATTTTGTAAACGAAACATGTCACAAAGCTCTCACTGGAGATAGTTGACTCTACAGAATCCACACTGATATACTAAACAGTATTTTTAATTAATGTCAATCTGAAGGGCATCTCTAACTAAAAAAACCACCAACTTTTATGTAAAATTTGGTGTAAAATTTACATCAAATTTCGTGTTGACTTGAAGATGGCTTTACAAGAAATTTTACATCAAATTGTATTTTAAATTATTTAATTAAAAATTATTCTATTACAAAAATCGTTAAATTAAATTTTATATTTAATGAACTAAGATAATTTGTTTATAATAAATTAAAAAATATTTTGTAATGAAATTTATTGTATCAATAACTATTACTTATTATTTGATTAGAATTTAAAAATAAATGTCAAATAAAAATAATCATCACATTAAAACAATTATATATCAATTAAAATCTATTAATTCCAAAATATAAAAAATGGATATAGATGAAAAAAAAAACATTTTTTATAAAGGGGAAGGGAGGACAAAGTGAGAATCATGAAAATTCTCAAATTTTACACTATATTTGGTGTCTCGTTGAAAAGCATTTTACACCAAATTTGATGTTTTATACTAGATTTGATCCCTCATTGAAGATGGTCTAACTTCATGAAATAGATCATTTAAATTTTAATGAGTTGGTCAAATGCGTACAAGTTTTAGCATGGACTCATTCAACACGAGATTTTCATATGAAATAATTTAAATTTGATTTTAATATGATATTATTTTAATTTTATATAATATTACGTATTATATTTCATGGTATATTAAAAAGGATTACAAAAGTTAGGGATCTTTTTAATATTTTAATTGGACAAATATTTTAAATAAAATAATGGGAAGGTAATGAAAATAACTGAGGATGAATAGAGGGTTCATTATTTTAATATTTTAAATAAAATAATGGGAAGGTAATGAAAATAATTGAGGATGAAGGGGGTTCATTATTTTAATATTTTAAATAAAATAATGGAAGGTAATGAAAATAATTGAGGGATGAATAGGGGTTCATTATCCATCCTTAATCCTTATCCATATTTCGGATTTGTCTCTGTTTTATCTGCCACGTGTCAGATGAATTATTGCGTTCTATACATGAAAGTCCTGACTGGCAACCCACGATAAAGGTCAGCAACGAGCATAATGCCCACAAAGATTCCTTATGATATTCTAATTTAAGGAAAATTTTCAGTAGGGGTCTTTAATCTTTGTAAAAAGTGATAATAAATCCCCAACTTCATATCTTGGCACCAAAATCCTCGAACTTTTATAAATATAGCGGTACAAGTCCTAGACTGAATCCATCCAAATGTGCCCCATTTTCAAGGAAGAATATGTTTTGTAATAGTAATTTTTTGAAGAATATAATTAAAAAATAGGAAAAAGTTTGGGTTTATATGTAAAATTGTTTTATCGAAAGAATATATGGTCGAAACGAATTTTAAAAAAAATGAATTTTATTGAATATAGTTCAAAGACGAGATTTTCATATGAAATAATTTAAATTTGATTTTAATATGATATTATTTTAATTTTATATAATATTACGTATTATATTTCATGGTATATTAAAAAGGATTACAAAAGTTAGGGATCTTTTTAATATTTTAATTGGACAAATATTTTAAATAAAATAATGGGAAGGTAATGAAAATAACTGAGGATGAATAGAGGGTTCATTATTTTAATATTTTAAATAAAATAATGGGAAGGTAATGAAAATAATTGAGGATGAAGGGGGTTCATTATTTTAATATTTTAAATAAAATAATGGGAAGGTAATGAAAATAATTGAGGATGAAGGGGGTTCATTATTTTAATATTTTAAATAAAATAATGGGAAGGTAATGAAAATAATTGAGGATGAAGGGGGTTCATTATTTTAATATTTTAAATAAAATAATGGGAAGGTAATGAAAATAATTGAGGATGAAGGGGGTTCATTATTTTAATATTTTAAATAAAATAATGGAAGGTAATGAAAATAATTGAGGGATGAATAGGGGTTCATTATCCATCCTTAATCCTTATCCATATTTCGGATTTGTCTCTGTTTTATCTGCCACGTGTCAGATGAATTATTGCGTTCTATACGTGAAAGTCCTGACTGGCAACCCACGATAAAGATCAGCAACCAGCATAATGCCCACAAAGATTCCTTATGATATTCTAATTTAAGGAAAATTTTCAGTAGGGGTCTTTAATCTTTGTAAAAAGTGATAATAAATCCCCAACTTCATATCTTGGCACCAAAATCCTCAAAGTTTTATAAATATAGCAGTACAAGTCCTAGACTGAATCCATCCAAATGAGCCCCATTTTCAAGGAAGAATATGTTTTGTAATAGTAATTTTTTGAAGAATATAATTAAAAAATAGAAAAAAGTTTGGGTTTATATGTAAAATTGTTTTATCGAAAGAATATATGGTCGAAACGAATTTAAAAAAAAATGAATTTTATTGAATATAGTTCAAACAGAGGCTAATTAGACATATCACTAGTACTTATGTACGACTTTTTCTTGGGTGTAAAATATGTGAAAATCGAGCCAATTAGATAAATAATGTAATCTCTTCCCTTTAAAAAAGTTAGATATGTGAAATTCACATGCCACTTTAACATTTATTTGGGCAGACTCAATCTAAAAGGATCTCCTCTACTACATTTATTAAAAGCTTGTTTGGTACAACTTAAAAGTCAAGTAAAATCAATTTTGTGACCTTTATTTCACTATTTCAAATGTCATTTTTGAATTATTCTCTCACAAATAAAATTTACTTTATCTCTAACGATCAAAAAATCAATTATCAAAATCCCTACCAAACAAGCACTAAATATTGACGATGGCACTTTCAAGATTTGAAGGTAGTGGACCAATTTGCACTTTTCCTTAAGTTGAGGAACACCAACTGCAATTATTTCTAATTGCACTACACAAAGGCACGGGTGAAAATTAACAAGCCATCAAATAACCAATCATTTGACGACACGTTAGCACTTCCATCAAGATATGTATGACTACTCATGGAGAATCATTGTCAAAGTTTTGGAGTCGTGTGGTCTATTATTAGTGTTAGGTTAAACGTAAGTGCGTCTGTGTAACATTATTGTCAAAATTTCGGAGGCAATCGGGCAAGTGGTTGATAATTAGTGTGTGTCAAGTTGTGTGTTTGACGAATACTTCTCCTCGTGCTGGATTAAGATAAGATTATTCGATTTAGATATTTGTAAATATATATAGACAAATATGAATACGATTGCTTTGACCGTATCAATTTAACCCTTCTCCAAAATGAGGTGACAATATCAAACGTAACAATTCCGCTACTTCTCTAGCATATCCAAGGAGAAACCCTCTCATCGTGTTTTGCTAAGCTTAAAAATTATAAGCAAAATGAAGTAAGATTAAAATAAATATGTGTTATTGATAAAAATTACAAGTAAGTAAGTTATTTATTTTTATTTTGATGGTAAATAACTATTTTGCTTAAAATTAAATTACTTATAGATTTTGTTATTCGAAAAATAATTTTTTTTCTTAAATTTTATATAACACGTTATATAAAGTGATTGGTTTGATTTAAATATTATTATTCCCGGAAAAAAAGGGGGATAACGACGACCAAAAGAAACCGGCGTTCGGTGGTGGTGGATTCCAAACGATGTTAATTTCCACTATCATCAATTTCCAGTAAAATCCAAATCCATCATCAATCTAGGGAAGGAAAAGTCATATTTATTTGGTTCAATCCTCATCTCATAGATGATAGCTTTGTTTGTTTATATCAGTTTAAAATTTTAGAGAGTAAAAAATTTTGAATACTCTCGGAAGCTCTTTATATTTAATATTTAATTTTACTGTTTTAAAAAAATATTTAATTTTTTCTCATCTTTTATTTTTATTAACTTCTCTTAAAATTATTATATTATTTTTCTATTAGAAATTTAAAATACTTCGAATACATTTAATTATAAAAAGTAAGTTCGCTAACCAAATTCACTTTTTAAATTAAAATATTAATTTAAATAATCACTTGAAGCGTAATTTTAATGGATGACTTTTTAAAATAGAAAACGTCTTATATTTAAAAATAACTTGAAGATTTGGTATACTGTAAAGAGACAGTTGCATTTATTGACTAATCCTAACAAAATTACATAATTGCCCCTTCACATGAAATTCATTCTGAGTGAAGTGATGGAAATTTCGTCTTTATACTTCCTGTGCAATCGGAATGTACTGCTCCACTGGGTCCCACTGACAAAAAAAGCTTCAAAAATGAATCCGCTTTTGGGCCAAAATGCCGGCCAACCAGGGCTAAGTAATGTGATTTTGTAACTGCAATTAATGAGTAGGGTCATTGGTTGCTAGGAAATTGTTTAGGCTAATAATTTTGAAAAGTACATTAACCCCTGTTTGGCCCCCACTATTTGCTCATTTTCCATCCCCATTATCATA